TATATGATTGTTTGCCGTGAGGGATTTTTGGGTAACTAGTTTTTTTTTTTTTGTTATATGATTGTTTGCCAAGAGATTTCCAAATTGCAGGTTGTTGCGAGAGATTTTTGGACAATTGAGTTCAATGAATTGAACTGGGTTCTGTCGAACTTCAATCTTGAAAATGGAAAGAAATGAATCGAGCTAGGTTCTGTCGAACTTCAATCTTGAAAAATGGAAAGAACACCCTGTCGAACTTCAATCTTGAAAATGGAAAAAACACCCTGTCGAACTTCAATCTTGAAAATGGAAAAAACACCGGAAAGAATAGAAACAATAACCGATGGCCAAAGGAGCAATTGTTAGTGGTGATGTGGGACCCATTTGGATGGATTTGGTGCGTTTTTGCTAGGTAACATGTGACATGGCAAAAATTTTATGCATGTCATCACTTTTTTAAGTTTTGCTCTCCACATCATCAAAAAAAATATAAAAAATGCCACCTAAGTAGGGTTAACGGCTCAAATTAATAGAAGGACTAACGGAGTGCATTTCGTATGGTTGAGGGATCAAAAAAGTGCAAAAAAATTGTTGAGGGACCAAATTAAGCATTTAACCTTTTTACTTCCACTACAATCTTCTTTTTTATAAATAATTCCTAATTTCTTTTTTTTTATCTTGAGGAGTACATTTCCCTACTTGGTAAACCAAAAGATTTATATAAAAGGGGATGTTACATTACCAATAGAAGAACTTGACTTAATCCCTTTTCTACTACAAGGACCATTCCTTTTTGCCTAATTCTTTTATACTTACTCTTATCAAACGCAATTATTTGACTATATTCTACATATCCTTCATATTCTTCATAATAAGCTTCTATTTCCTCAACAATTGGATTCATTGCTATTGGAAGTATCTAAACTCTCTACTCCATATATAGTTTCATTACTATTTATAGAGCTAGTCTCTATTTCAGTTAACTCTTCTTCATAGATTTTTAGATTTTTAGTACTTTCTCTTTTGTATATTTTAGGATATTCATTTTTATAGTGTCCTTCTTCTTTACATAACCAGCATGTACATTTCTTAGGATTCTTTCTATATTTTCTTGGTGCTTTTATTTTCTTAAAATATCTTTTCTTCTTTCCAAAAAATTTATTCTTATTAAACCTTTGTTTATTACTTCTTCTAATTTTAAATCTTTTGTTTTTCTTTTTATAGCTTGAATAATTACATCCCAACTTGATTGGATCACTATTTTTAGGATAGCATAACCCCCTTTTCATACTTTTTCTTAAATTATTATAATTGTAATTTTCCATACACCATTCATTTATTTTGGTTTTAGCGAACCAAATCCTTAGGCCTAATGTATCGGTTTTATCTTATACATAAGTTCTATAGGCTTCTACTAGCTTCATTCCCCAAGGATTAGGGATTTTTCCAAAAAATAATTCTCTTAGCCCTTTAGCCATTCCATGATTTGAGGCTTTATAATAGTATTTTTGAAATAAATAAATGTATTGGTCTAGCTTACAAAGATTACATGATTCTAAATTCTACAAATTCCATACTGCTATTCTTCCAATTCGAGCTTCTTCTTTTTCTTGATTTCTTCCCAATTTTCTCCTAAAAATTCTTTTCTTATAGCTGATTCAAATCTAGTTACTATGTCTTGGATTGCTTCATTTTCATTTATTTCTTCTAAAGCAAGATTTCAACTTATAATGGCATTACTTTCTTCTTCATTTAGACCGGCAAACCAATCATGAACTGTCCCTTTAAAGGTGACTTCTATAAATCTAACTACTTGTAAAGCATTCCAATTTTTATTTACTATGGCTATCCAAGTGGCTTGAGCCCAGTCACTAATGACTTGTTCGAGGTCAATAACACAGTCTAAATCTAGCCAAATGCCATTGGTATTGATAATTTGCTCTTTGACTCTTACTGGGGTTTCAAGTTTAGATTGATTCCCAAATTTTTTTTCTATCATATACTATTTCATATACTTGATTTTTATTTCTTCTATAACTTTGACCAGTGTTAGATTCTACCCCTTGTTGTAATGGGAATTCTGTTGGAGTTATGTTAGGTTGCCTTTCACCTTTTTCTTCTTCACTTTCTTCTTCCATTTCTTCCTTTACCTCTCTATGAGTATTCATTTTCATATATTCTAGTTGTTTGATAGTTATAATAATTTGTCTGCATAGATTGTCTAACTCTTCTGCATTTTCTTCCTCTAAGAATCTTTGTTCCAATTCTTTCAACTTTTCTTCTTGAGTTTTTAACAAAAAAAGTATTATTCCCTTTGATTTAGGTTTTTCTATAAAAATCTTTGGGATAATCTTAAATCCTTCATTTCTTTCTATAATATTTCATCTACTTCAAACTAATATTATAGTATCTTGTAGGTCCTTAAGCTGAGTTTGGATTTTATAAAAATTCTTATCTATATCACTTTCTAATTGTGGGATTATTTTATTAGAGAAAAGTGCACATCAGTCTTACCTCCAAAAGAAAATTGGAGTCCTAAACCAAAACTGCGTCATTTCTCTTAATCCTTCTGCAATCATCTCCATCACCTCCTCAACTCCTCTGATTCCTTCAATTTTCAAACACAATCCCACACTATCGACTTAATCCCCAACACCCATTATTTTCACCCCATTCTACTGCTACATTGAGAGTAACAGAGAAGGGATCGAAGGACAATAAGTGCTTCAATAAATTGCAACGGCAAAATGTGGTGAAATTAGTCATTATCCCAGCTTGAGAATTAACCCAAAAAAGTCCAAACAAAAAAAAAAAAAAAGAAAAGAAAAATGTTCCCTCTCCTACCATCACAATTTGCTCCCAAAAGATTCTATATTTCCACCCTCATGCTTTGCCCTTTTCACTTTCTTATTCTCTGCAACTTCAAAGTCAGCACCAATTTTTTTATTTTGAATCCCAAAAAAAAAGGAAAAAAAATAGATAGAAGAATGAAGCTACCTATGATAGATCTAGAGCCGTACTTGAAGATCACCAGCCAACTCAACGGTGACTCTGCTAAGGAAAAGGCTGACATCAGGGCTGGATTTGGTAAGTTGTGCAGTGAGGTGAGTCGTGTGCTCAAGGAAACTTGGGCATTGCTGGTCAATGATCCAAGATGTACGGCAAAGGACAACGATCGATTCCTTGACATGATGGAGAAAAAATTGGTGTTGGGGATTAAGTCAGTGACATGGGATTATGTTTGAAAAACTGAAGGAATCGAAGGAGTTGAGGAGGCAAGGAGGCGATAAAGATGGACATGGACATGGAGATGATTGCAAAAGGGGCAAAAAACAACAAGGGCTAGGAATTAAGAGAAACGATGTTGTTTTGGCTTGGGACTCCAATTTTCTTTTGGAGGTAGGATCGATACGTACTTTCCCCATTTTATTATACATTTTAAAGTTTTTATGGCAAATTTTTTACAGACCACTTTTAATATCTTAAGAATTTATTCTATTTTGATTTTTATATCTCTAACTCGAGAGATTATGGTCTTCGAGTCACTAATAGACCTTATTTCCTCTCTTATTTCCTCTTTTATTTCTTTCAAATCTTTAGAATTTTTAATTCCATTTATCTTGTCTCTAATAGACTCAAATTCTTGTGAGAGGGATTTTCCCATATCTTTAATTCTTCTTAAGGTATTTTCGTTAATAGTTTTTATTTCTAAAATCTTATCAACGATAATTATATTTTCACTACAAATTATGTTTTTACCCACTATATTGAGTGAATACATGTTAATCCCATTTATTTGTTCATTATTCATATTGATTTCAATAAATCAACTAGTTCTCTTAATTTATTAATTTTCTGTTCTCTAAATTTAATATGTTTATTATACAGTGCTACTATAGAGTTTACTTTTCCATTTTGTTATCTTAACTTGACTAATAGATTTTCTTTCATTTCTGCTAGGACTCTTTCTTTAGATTGAGCCACTGGTTCAATTTGATGACAAATATTTAGTATTGTTTTTGTATTTGTGGCAATATCTAATTCCATGAAGACTTTCTTGGGGTTTAACTGTTGTCTTATGTTTTACTTAAGGACCAATCCTGTAAATTTTTAATTTTATCTAACACCACTTAACGACTCTAGTTACTCGAGGGGCTGATTTGCCACTGAATTTTGAGTATAAGGGGTGTTTTGCTTCCGTTCTGGGTTCGAGGGCTTATATATGCCACCATATTGCCGATATAGGGGCTTTTTTGCACCTTATGCCTTTCTCTTTTTATTACGTAAATAACTTACTTTCTGTTTGTTATGGGTTCGAGCAGGTAGGAATCCTTTTTTTTTTTTAATTATATATTCATTAATAAATGAATATAGTTAATCAAGTAAATCTACTATAGTTGACATATAGGTAAAAGAAGTTAGATATTACAAATAGACTATAACTCCTATATAGACTTACATAAAACTCTGAAACTATACTTATAACATATAGTAATGGGTGACAAACACTAATTTATAAAAAAGATATAAGCAATTAAGATTAAAATAATTATTTAAAATTAAAAGATTTCAAAAGTAATCTTGATAAGGACACATATTACTAGAGCTACAGGGTTCGAAGTTGGTAGGAGTTCTAATCATGCTCCATATAAGTGTTTAGACTTTAGAGTAAATTATCTTAACTGAAAAGACTACCTACTAAATTCATTCTAAATATGAAATTTTATCAAATTCACCAAGTCAACCACTAACACTTTTGAACCAAAAAAAAAAAAAAAAGGAAGGTGAAACTGGATTCAATTCAAACCCCAATGTAAACTGTTTTGTCTAATATCATTGATCTGTTGGGTCTAAAATGACAAAAGAGCCAGAGGGTTCATCTTCATCTTCATCTTCATCATCAATTTTTTTTTTTTTTTGGTACATTAAAAGATTAGTTGCTGAATATCACAAAAATTTGAACTGTTAACCTTAACATGAAATCAAAAGTTTTAAATTAATAGATATTAACTCAACTAAACATTTTTAATTAGTATCTTCGTCGTCATGTTACCTACCCAAGTCAATTAACTTAAAAAATTAGGGTTGACAGCAATGTTTTGGTAATCACCAAACACATAGCCTTTCCTGATCAGAAAAACTATGTTTCATGGCATATATTAACAAAATTTGTTAGGAAAAAAAATTAAAATTCTAAAATTCTGCTTTTGGTAGACTTCCCTGAGGAAAATTAAGAAAAGAGGAGTGTACTCTTCTTTTCCTAAAATGAATCTTTTGTCCTCAGCAATTGGGAGATCAGGATGTGGACATCTATTTGCTTGAAAGAGGATGGGGGATGCAAATAAATTGGGTGTTTCATACACTTTAAATGTATTCTGTGAGAAAGAAACACATGCTCTGATTAGGAATCCTTTGAGGATGATCCGCAAGATGGAGGTAAAATTTCTTTGAAGCTATGCTTTGAATCATGAGTTCAACAAAATTGCTTTGAAGCTATGCTAAACAGCCCCTAAATCATGAGTTGGACAAAACCATTGTGGTTATGCTTACCCTCTTTACCTGTCTTAAACAAATATCTGATGTTAGTCATATTAGTGGCCTTTTAGTATTACCAAAAATGGAAAATAAAGGTTAGGCTGCCACAATCAATTTTTTGCAATGAGACTAATCCTTTTAAAGTGAGATCTTAAGAAAATAATGGATTTAGCACTTACTAATATTCCTTTCATTTTAGAAAAATAGACAGTTTTTTTATTTAAAATATATTCCAGAAAAATAATAGCTTTTTCATATTTTAAGAAAGGTAAATATTTTTTCCTTTCTTTAACCCCATCATTATCTCCTAACTTTAACGGTATGTTTGGATTGAGGAAAATGAAAAGGAGAGAAGAAAATTCATGCATTTAGTTATCAAAAGAATTGAAAAGAAAGAAGGAGAGGGGAAGGAAGTCCTTTATATTTTCTAAGGGATTATCCTTCTATTCCCCTCCATTCCTGTCCCTTCTCCTTCATTCCTCTCAATCCAAGCATTCTGTAATTATTCATCTAGGGGATTAAAAAAGTCTATTTATTTTTAATTCTTTTTTTAAGTGTAATATAAATAAATGTATAAATTGTTTCCAAATCGTTAACCTAAAGATAAAATTAAAAAAAAAAAATCTAGTATTTTGGTAGAGAGTTCATCCTTCACTCCAAAAAAAAAAAAATTACCTTTCAACTATCTATGATTAGGCATGACAAATAAAAACAATTATATTATTATTGATTTTGAGTTACATGATAAGATATAACTTTCTCTCATTCATTAATTTATTTTACATGTGTTTCTATAACTCAATTTAAAAACTCTTTAATTGGAATGATATTACTACTAGACCGCTTATAAAAACTACTAATACTTGGGCAACGATAAAAAAAAATAATCTTTTAAAAAACTTGGATTTATTAGGGCTATAATCCTGCAATGTTTTTCTATTTCTTATTAGTATCTTTTTATTTAAATTGACTTTTTTTATATTTTTAAGGTACATTATCTTTCTATTTCATTTTAACTTAATGATATAACTATAATACCAGCTCAAAACATGCTTTCGGATTTAAAGGTTTATCTATCCCTTGTACTCTTATATATAATAATAAACATTTTTGTTATTCAAAAAAATGATCTAGTTTTAATAGTAGACATAATTGTAACATGTCATTAATAAATAAATATATATAATATTATAAATAAATTTATAAAAAAAATTAATTATTATATATAACAACATATCAGTATTAATGTAACTTTACAATATTATATATATAGCATTGTAACTATATAATTTTCGTTAACTTTATAATTAAATCTCCTCTGTATTAACAATATTTTCTTTTATATTATTCTCATAAATAATTTAAAGGAAAGTTGAAAAAAGATTCAATTAATGACAACAAAAATTGCATTCTTTAATAATTATGCTTGGTAGAAATGGCACACATTGTGACAAAAGAGTACATAATAGAACTAAAAATTGCAGGTTGAAAAGATAATTTATGGCAAAGGCTCTCAATTAGAATGGTTCTCTTGTCAGTTGATTCTAACCATCAAAATAAAGTTTATTGGCAGGTTGGGGTCTTGGATCAGACATTACATGTTCCATAACAGAAATTATCTCTATATTCCTCTGTTCCACTTTTAATTGATGTCCCACTCTCCTAAGGGTGGCCAGGGTTCGATTTTGATTGCAACCTAAACTGAGTCATCCCTTAATAACTAAATTATTGATTATTAATTTTTAATAACTATCAACCAAATCTAAATTATTGGTTTTATTTGTTTTAGTCAATTTTTTTAAAGAGATTAAGAAAAATCAAGACTTATTAATAATTAAAATGTTAGAAATGAATTGAAAAAACTAAAATACTTCTAATAAATCAATATAGAAAAAAGATTATTTTTTTATCAACCAACATATAAAAAAATTCAATAAGGATATTTAAATAATTTCATAAAGAATCTTGACATTTAAAGTGTCAAAATATTTTGATTTTCACTTTTTATTTTTTTTTAAAACGGTGTAATTGTGATTTAAACCAAAAATTAAATTTAGTCAATATTTGAGACAAGAATGGGTGGGAACGGGAGGGAAGGGCTTAAAAAAATTTCATAAAAATTTAAATTTATAACAAAAATATTCAAAAAAAAAAAACTCAAAAAATTTGGGAATGGGAGGGATTGCTAAAAATCATTAAATTTTTTTAAAGAAAAGTCCAAAAGTATTTAGTTTTTACCTTTTAGTCATCCCACCCAATTGAGATTTGGTTATAACCAAACCTGTGTCAAAAAAAACTCAAAAACTGATTAAACTCAATCCGCCAGTTATGATTGTAGTCGGTTTCAAATTTTTTCTAGTTGTAAATCATTTTGCCACCCCTACAGTCTCCTGTCTCAATGTCAAGACTCAGGACGTACGCAGCTGCAGAAGAAAAAAATAAAAGAAGAATTTGGGGTTGATATTTGAGGTTTTAGATCAGTATCTTGAAAGATTATATTAATTAGGGAGAATTTTGATAAAAGTAACTATCTTCTGTCCTATAACTCATCATTCCGGCAGTGGGAGTAGCATTGAACAGTAAAAGATGTTCGAAGGTTGGCTGATGAGGTGTCATTAATGGAGTCCAAGGAAGGACGTTAATGGACATAAATCACGAAGTAGATGGATGGTAACGAACAAAAATAAAGAATATAAGGGTGTAGATGAACAATTACTAATTAGTACAACAACCTCAAATCTAAGAATTAAATTCATTAATAAATAAGTATCGTCTTATAGGTTAAATTCAGAATTTAACTCCTAAGTTGAGCTCTCAAAAATCTAATTTTTTTGAATGTCCAGGCTGATGTGGGGATGCATCTTTAATATTGTCCATGGAAGAATTAGACTTGAGGTGTGCAAAATTTGGTTTAAAAATACACTGACTGTAAATATTAAAAAAATACTTAGTATAACCCTAAGGATTAGAACTTCTAGTAAATACTTTCTCGTAGGTCAATTGTTTAGAAGTGCCCATTTAAATGTGTAAAAAATGCTCGGTGAGGTGTAGGCAAGATCTATTCAATGGATTAGTGATAAAGAATATGTTCCTTTTTCTTTCTCAGAATGGTGCAGGACTCCGTGGGCTTGCAGCAGGATGATGGGTTGTAGTAGGAAGATGTAGAGGCAATACAGGTGTTGTGCATTTAAATTGTATAATAGGCTATCTGTTACCTTGGTACTAAGTGGGTAATGTCATTACTTTTTGTTCAAGGGTTAAAGGTTTGAGTAGTCTTTGTACTCTTAACTTTTTCAAGAAAAAATAATCATATAAGTTAAGTTTAAAGTTTAACTTTTAAAATCAGTACTTAAATAAATTAATTTTTTTAAATACATCATGTTAATATGAAAGCTACAACTTTAAAATCAACCAAGAAAAAATTAATCATAAAATGTATAAAAGTTAACTCAAAAACATCATAATAATAAATTTAAAAGTAAAAAGAAAATTAAAAAAAATTAAAAAATTAAAAAAATAATAATAACAAGAATAACAAACACTAGTGTAAAGATGTTAAAAACAAAATTTGAAAGTATAGGAACCTTACTTGACTTTCTCCTTAAGATCCTTAAGATCCTTTTATTTAAAGATCATGCACAGATTGTTATATGAGCTTCATGTTTTTTTTAGTATTTTACTTCTTTTAAATGACAATTTGAATATTCCCTTCCCTAAAATGTAAGCATGTGAAATATATATATACAATTCGAATATTAAAAGTGTTAAATTATTATTAATTAATTAATATTAAAATATTAAAAATATTTTAATAATTTTAATATTTATATTATATTTATAATGTATAATTTAACTTTAGAAATTATATATATATATTTTTAACCATATATATTCATTTATTTAATGTATTTTACACGCTACAAATAAATGTATTATATGTATATATTATAGATGCGCCTATTTTACACGTCCTATATGGTAAAAACATTTAAAAAAAAAAGGCAATTACATAAGAATAATCTTTTTGTATTTTTTATTTAATTTTTATATATTATTAAATCAATAAATATACTTAATATTATAAAGTTAAATAAATAAAAAAAACAATAATCATTTAAATTACACATAAAATTATAAAAAAAAATACCCCCAAATCATTTTCCAAAACACTTGTACTCAGATATTGCCTACCAAAATCACACCAAGAAATTCAAAAATCAATAATTGACAAAGTAATTGCTTGAAATAATAAATTTCTAAAAAGAGAGATAAAAGCTTAAAATAGCTAAAAGAAAATTAAAAAACAAAAATAAAAAATATCGAAATGAGAAACGAACAAGGGAGAGAGTGAGATACTCTTATCCTGCGCCACCACTACAGATCCCAGTCAGGGAAACGGGGAATCTCCAAATCCAAAGTGCGCCGGCCGTTGATGTCCCTTCATCATCGGTTGCTGGCGGCAGCACTCTCCCGTCCGCGAACAGTTCCCGTCCGTTCCTGGGCTGTTCCTGATGCTGATGATGGCGATGATGACTCTCCATCGCGCCCTCAAGCTCCGTCGCATCATCGAAGAACGCTACATCCCCAAACCTTCTCTCCACCTCCAGGAACTCCCCCAGCGAAGCTGGCTTCGTATCACCGTCCCCGCACAGCCGCCACCACCTCCACTTCCGACGCCGCCGCAGCTCAGCCCCGAACGCCGCAGTCGGCAGTCCTCGCTTCTTGGGCTTCGTCCTCCCCACCGACGCAGGGGTTGTGACGTTCCCATCGCGGTGTTGCGAAGGTCGGAAAGTAATTGCCGGGAAACTGACCCCCATTAATGTACCCAATGTTGTGCTTCTATCGTGGAAAAAGGAACCTGTGGACTGTAAAAATCGAAGAAAAACAAGAAACAGAACATGAATAATTGGGTATTTGTTTCAATTTTCAAATGGATTAATTTAGATGGGGAGATGAAGCACGGCGTACCTCGGTGTCGAGATCGGAGGATGAAACGGAGGAGATGGAGGGGGATGATGGGGCCGGCAACATATCATTGGCTGGATCCAGCATTTTGGTTGATGAAGATTTAGAGTAACAAAGGTAAGGGTGGGAGATGATGGTGAAGAGAAAGGGTTCAGGATTGTGTATTAAATGATTAATGTTGGGATGCGCTTTTGTCATGCTGAGATGTGTCATGCTTTTTCATTTTTTAATTTCCTATTTTAATAGGCTATGGAAGCAAATCGGGATAGGGTATAAATACAGAGGATGATGCTTGCCATTCAGGTTTCAGCTAAAAAATGAGTGATATTTTCTAACTTGGAATGCGAATATCCAATTATAGGAAGGAGGACCCTCTCCCAATATCCAGAGGTCATTCCTAATTCAATAGCAATTCTTTTGCTATTGTGGTTTAGATGGTAAATTAACTCCTAAATTCCTCAAAAGATATAAATCAACTCTTATAATTAATGGCATAATGCATGTAACTTTAGACCATCTGCTCTTTTTTTTTTTGGTTCAGTCTCACTTTTCCATTTGAATGCTAATGTGGATCAAATGATATCTCAATAGTAAAAATCTTACTAAAATAGTTCACATAGGCTAAGAACACTAAATTAAAAGAGGAGTTATGTGGAATATTTTGATAGGATTTTTACCACTCAAAGAATACTTTGATCCACGTAAGCATCCACATAAAAAAGGTGAGATTGAATGAAAGAAAAGAACAAATGGCCTAAGGTCACATGCATTGGCCATTAGTAATAAGGGCTAATTTGCATCTCTTAAAATTTTGAGAATTAATTTATATCATTCAAATGATTTAAAGGTTTATTTGCACTATTTTTAATTTAAAGGATAACGTGTTAAATTCGAGAAAATTTGGGAGTTTAGGAGTGGGCTTTGCTTTACTATTATTATTATTAGAGATGAGCATTGGTTATGGGTATCTGTTACTTGTAAGTATTTTATTCGTTTAAATAAATATCATATCTGAACTATAGAAAAAATAGATAAGTAATAAATATATAAATTTAGAATTACTTATTTGATTGGTGGTGCTATAAGAATAGCCTTTTTATTTTACTTTTTCATATAACTTTCACATGTCATTAAATGAGTGGATGTATTCAATATTACGAGTTTCACATGAATTAAAAGAACCAATCATTTTAATAACACATCAGATTATACAAAAAAGTAAGAAAAAAAGGTTATATAAAAATCATTTCCCCTACTTGATCGATTTACTCAACTTATTTAACTTATTTGTTACCTATAGTTGTAAAATTGAAATTTGACATGTACTTGTTATATTTAATATCTATATAATAATAATTTTTAAAAATAAAAATAATAAAATACAAAAAAATAGAAATAAAAGTTAAGTAAGGCCTAAAACCAAACAAACCACACATGTAGCAATAATAATTCACATAAA